TTTTTTTTGGACCCAGTCATTTGGTGGGAGTTACAAGACCATGGCAAGAAAGGCCATATGAAAGGGATCAGTCACACTACACCAGATATCAAGAATTATAAAGCTATAGTGATAAATATAGTACTGGTGCAAGAACAGACAAGTTGATCAATGGAACAGATTAGAGACAGAAACAGACCCCTATATACATGGAAATTTAATTACTGAGATGACGAATACCTGCAGGACACATTATACAAACTTAGGTCATTTGCCCCTGTCTTACAGTCATTTAGAGGTAGAGTCTAGAATACATGGTATAGAATTCCAGTTTGCCTGAGATTATGTACTAAATCAAGGACAGAAGCCTCATTGCTAGACCTGTCTAACTGTTCCATATCTAGTGGGGTTGCGTTTGACCAATTACCTAATAGCTCAGTTATACAAAGTACATCAGAGCCTTGGATTCAATGCCTGGAAGAAAGGCAACAAGACCTTGTAAAGCAAGAACAAGTAAATCAAGGTGTGTGAAAAACTTGATATCATTACTTCAGAGAACAGCAAATTTCTTTAGAGACTTTGTTCTCACTGTTATGAGAAACATTATTTTGTCATTGTATAAAAGGTATCTTTTCCACCATACTACCATGGGTGGCGCAAATGGTTAAGTGCTGGACTATTAACCTAAAGGTTGGCTGTTCAAACCCACACAGTGGCAGCTTGTAAAGCCTGGCAACCTGCTTCCAAAAGCTCACAGCCTTGAAAACCGTATGGAGTGCAGTTTTACTATGCACACATGGGGTCATCATGAGTCAGAATCAACTTAACAGTAACACCCAATACTTGTTAGGTGTTGAGTCAGTCCCGACTCATAGTGTACATGAGTACATGTACAATAGAACAAAACATTGCCAGGTCCTGCGTCATCCTCATATAATTGTTGCTATACTTGAACTCATTGTTGGAGCCACTCTTTTAATCCATCTTGAGGAAGAGGGTCTTCCTCTTTTTCATTGACCCTCTACACATGATGTCCTTCTCCAGGAATTGATCCCTCCTGATAAAATGTCCAAAGTAAGTAAGACAAAACTCTTGCCATCATCGCTTCTAAGGAACATTCTGGCTGTACTTCTCCCAAGACAGATTTGTTCATTCTTCTGGAAATCCATGTTATATTCAATACTTACACCCTAAAAATGAATAAGGCCATCTTGCACTAACCTAAAAAATAAACATAAACATATGCCTGCAAACAGTAAGAAAAGCCTGTTCTTCAGCCTTACAGTGTCTCAGGTCTTTTCTTCAGGACTATAACAAACATGATGTCATATGAAAGCACCTAGTACAAAGCCTGCTGTATACGAAGTACCACATAAAGGTAGCTATTATTAGCGTGTAATATTCCTTTTTCCAGACATTATTCCAAAATGTAAAAATGGCATGGTGGGGGCATCTGACCTCCTCTAACTTCACGAGGGGAAAGAATCACCATCAACATTAGCCCAAGGCTGATTCCTATGAGGCAAAGGTCAAACATACCTCCACCCTCCAGCCTTTTCACCAATTCTGACACCAGCCATCCCACCCACGGCAACCTCTACTCCTCTGCTAGGCCCCACAGAGCTCACAGACAACACTCCCAATTATAGTGTTTATTAGGGTTATTAGGGAAGTAACAAGTTATAATTCAGGATCAGGAACGACTCAGGATATAGTTCTTCAATCAATACAGTTCTCAGCCATGCCTGCAAGCAGGCCTCTTTCTGGCCCTTGGCCTGGCCTCTGCCCTGCTCACGGAAGTGTTACAAAGTTCTTTTGCTCCGCCAATAAATGCCTGGGGGCAGCCCACTCCACCAGTAAGGTTTAGTCCAAAGGCACTCAACTCCCTCACTCCATGGGTCAGCACACCCACTGTAGCCACCTTGCTTCATGGGCCAGGAAGCCCACCACACGCATCTCACACTGGTCTCCTGGTTCTGCTGCCACCATTTCCCTGTGTTACAACTCTGTCTGTCTCCTGGGTCTAGGAGATTCTCAGCGCAGGGACCCCAGGTCCAAAGGACGTGCTCCATTCCCATCTCTTCTTCTTGGTGGTAGTGCGGTCCCCTTTCTGCTCTGGGATTGGCTCTCTTTTAAGCCTACCAGGATGACAAAACAGACCAATCCCCTCGTTAGGGTTCCATACACCTTATTTGCGTGGTCCCACCCTCACAGGGATTCCATGCACCTTATTTGTATTATTAGTAAGCTGTCCAACCGTTTGGTGAGCCACAAGCACCTTGTTTGCATGGTCCTACCCAATCACTAAAAACCATGAATGGCTAAAAGGGCCATATTAAGTAATTCACTGCAATGCACAAAGTCACCTTGAAAATATGTAATAACCCTCAACTAGTTTTATGGCTGCAACAATGGGTTTGAACATAGCCAACGATTGTGAAGATGGCAAAGGACTAGGCAGTGTTTCATTCTGTTGTACACAGGGTCACTATGAGTAGGAACCAACTCAATGGCACCTAACAGTTTTATGTTCAGATCAACAATGTGAAACTGGAAAGCTTATTGCAGAATAAAGCTGGTGTGTGTTAGCTGTCCCTTCTAAATACATCAGCACCCAACACCTTTTCACGCCTCCACTGTCAGTTTCAGAACTCCTGCTGTAAATACAGCAATAGCTTCCTAATGATCTTCTTGCTTACATCCTTGCTGCTCAGCAGTCTATCGTCCTTTTAAAAACGCAGGTCAGATCATGTCACCCCTCTGCTCAAAACCCTCATTGTTTCATGAGTCTCAGAGAAATGACCCTGCCACTTGCTAGACTTATCGCCTCCTACTCGCTTCACTCCCTCTGGTCCATTCACAGGAGTCCTTACTTTTCCTGGTTCTCAACAGGCGTGTTTCCTGAGGCAATTTTTTCCAATTGCTGCATTGTTCACTCCCTAATAAACTCAAATGACCTCTTCTCAGTGCAGATTTCCAACAACCATATTCAAGTGTACCAAACCAAACCTATTGCTATAGATTTACTCAGTGACCCTGTAAGAGTACATTTGCCCTAGTTTCCAAGACTATGTTTACAGAAGCAGACTGCTGCATCTTTCTCCCGTGGGGCGGCTGATGGGTTCAACCGCCGCATTTTAGTTAGCAGCTGAGTGCTTAACCATTGCACCACCAGGGCTCCTTCCATTCCGAGCGTAAGCCCACTTTTTTCTATGTAGCACTTATCTAATATGCTATTCTTTTTTTGTCCCATGAGGGCAGAAATTTTGTGTACGTTGCTAGCTGTATCTAATCCCAGCACATTAACAATGGCACATATGGGTGCTCAATATTTATTGGGTTAATTATTAAATGATTGACTAATACATGCTACTATGGAATAAAGGCCAGGCGAACTGCTTCCATGATTACAACCAAGAAAATCCTATGGACTTTGACAGTATCAAAGCTCCAAAACACAAGACTGAAGAACCAAAAGATCTGAGGGAAAAAAAAAAAACCCAAACCCGTTGCTGTCAAGTCGATTCCAACACATAACGACCTTATAGGACAGAGAACTGCCCCACAGCGTTTCCAAGGAGAGCCTGGTGGATTTGAACTGACCTTTTGGTTAACAGCTGTAGCTCGTAACCACTATGCCACCAAAGTTTCCCTGGAGAAACTTTGGGTACAAAGATCAACTGTGGTACCCGCCCTGGAGGAGATGCTAGTTTGGTAAATGCATACAAGTTATATTGATATAGGATAATTACATTCAAGGATGCCCTGAACCCAACCTAACCAATAGTAAAGGCCTCCTGAACCAGATACTCCCTCAGATGTTTGCAGCACAAGTTCAGTTTTGAAGATTGCTTGGGATGAACAGATAATTTAACATCTAGTCAGCACAACATGCCAAACCAGATTCTTGGACTAAGAGGAAGCATAAAATTTTCAAGTGTAGATAGAACCCTTTTAAATGGCTAAACCTACAGCCTTTGTAAGATCAGAAATTATCTTAAAAGCTGTGAAATGGTGTATGAAGGATAAACATGCACCAGTTTTAACTATGGAATCCAGTTTGAGAACTACATTGAAATCGTGTGTGCTTAACAGGACATGCCATTAGCTAAACAGATCACGTATCATACAACAACCTGCCAGTTCTGAGGTGGGGCTGCTAGTCAATAAAGTTATTTTCCTTCAACTTCATGGGGTCTCATTTAGTAAATGGGAGCCTTAAGGGGCTAAATCAAACTAGTTACCTGTGGCACTACATCCCAAACCAGTGCCCAAATCAGTAATGCTCTCCCCACTCTCCCAATCTATTATCAAACTAGATTTTCCATTTTAAGTATATCAGCACCCATTTTTTGTGTATACTTATTCAATTAGCCATGTAATCAAGGCTGCACTGAAGTACAGCATCTCAAGAATGAAAAAAGCTACAGGTAGTCATTTCTCTGGATAAAATGCACTTTTCAAGCAGACACGGTACAAAGTACTTATATAATAAACCTTTTTAATTAGTAACAATGAAACCATTGCTAAAGGGTCTTAATGATTTGTCAGCTGAGTAGAGAACTAAGTAGATATTAGACTCAAGAAGTGACACTTACTGAGACCATTTTCCCTCTATAACGTAAGAGACCATCTTCCTTCTATACCCTAAATCAATATTAGATAATATTCCTCCCTGTCCCCACCTGATATAATTGAAATAAGCACTTTTCCAGATGTTTTACAGGAATTTATTAAAATTACTCAAAAACAAAAACCAAACCCACTGATGTTGAGTGGGATTGACTGGAACAGGCTGCTTGCTCTTATCCCATGAGCATTCCCATCCATCCAGTTGTCTGCAAAAAACAAAGATGCCAGTTTTAGTCACCCATCCAGATTTCAACTTAATGCTGTTGGGGGTACACAGAATATCAGATGTTATCACCATCATCAACTAATCAGTGAGAGAGTTCAAGTTGGGGTGGATCATCATTTATTCTGTACTAAGCAAACAGGGCTGACATTTTCATGCCTCACCTTTCAATAAGAAGATAAATAGTTGCTGCTGTCATCCTACATCCTATGAACAAAAATTATTTTAATTGTAGCAAAAAACTTTACTGTGATGCTTTCATTAATAAAGTAACCTCAGAATTAAAATGGAACGGTTTTTGGATGATATCATTATACTTCATTTGGCAGAATCATTACATCACTGGTTAATTTAATACATATACAGGCCACAAAAACAAGATGTTTTTTAAACTAACCTGCATTCCTCCAAATGTGAATTCCAAATCCTGAAATTGAAACAGTTCTGAGTTAACACATTTGTATAAAGTCATAGTGATCCAAGCCCATTGACAGAATTGATTCTGACTCACAGTGACCCGGTAGGACAAAGTAGAACTGCCCCCACAGGGTTTCCAAGGAACGCCTGGTGGTAACCACTGTGCAACCAGGGCTCCACTATAATCCAACGTCCTGGCTAAATTCCCCTTACAGAAGTATAAACTGGATTGTTTCAGCCTGATACGTCAGATAGGAGCGAAAGACATAGTGTTGTTCACCACTGTTAAGTCTGCTGAACTATGTTATCATCACTGTATCGGCTTTAACACAAAATAAATATGAAACTACTATACCTTTGGCTCAAAACTCCTTGTTCCATCCACTGCAACAAAAAGCTGACTCTACATGCCTGTAGAAATACAGTCGAATTTTAGTAACTGACAGCAATTAGGTACGCTTCTAAAGGTTTTTTGAAATACTGTTTCAGTTTTAAAAAGTTACTCTTCATTCTCTTTCAGAGAGATTCCCATTATTTAAAAACATCATTAACAGCACACTACCCAGAAATATGTAAGATCAATAAAATATATACCTTCTAAAGGTTTCCACAATCTGCACCTGAAAAAAGGGTATTTCTTTAGATACATAAGCAATTAAATCCTAAAACCCATGTAATTTTCAAAGTCTCTTCCACTGTATGGCACAAGAAAACACTCCCTCTTCCCTTAAAACAATCAAGACCAGCACGTTTCACCAACAGTGAAGATGCCAGGGGTCAGACGGTTTTGATGTTCTTACCCAAGCAGGTCATCCACGGATAAAAACGTGTACCAGAGCTAGAACAGAAAATTATTATATTACAATGCTAACCATCATTAAACTCCTCAGAATTGTTTAGCACACAGGGTTCTTCAGTGTTAAATCTGTCTACATGCTTGCTTCAGGTCAGACATTTGATCAACATCATTGTAAACCCTGTTATAAGAACATGCTCAAAGAAAACTCAGAGTTAGCATTCATTAACCAAATTTTAACAAGCTCTTAAATCATGATTAATAATTCAGTAGTTAAGGATAAGCAAATCTTGAGCCTACTGTAAAACAATACTCACCAAAAAAATAAAGATTGTCCAGACAAGTTAATGACCCAGGTCCTCCTGAAAAATAAAAAGTAGTTTTTATAGTAGCTAAAGATGGATTTTCTCTCCTAAAAATCTAACAAATGCCTGAAATCAGTTAGAGCTAATCATTAAGACCTTCATGTTCAGTCAGTATTTGCTTATCATCATACAGGCTTGTATTTACAAACAGTAGTAACAGGGCAAGTATCATCTGACGTGCAACCATTTCATATTAGAATTGCTTTCAGGGCAAAAAAAACTTGTCATGTTTGCCATGTTACCTATGTTTGCTCGGATTAGAACTCTACTTACCATTTTGACTTCCACTTGTTTGTCGAGACTCTACAAAAAAAGTTAGAATTTTTGATTAATACTGACACCTTTTTTATTCTAGGAGCGCTGGTGCCGCAGTGATTAAGTACTAATGGAAAGGTCAGTTCAATCCCACCAGCTGCTCCTTGGAGAAAGATGTGGCAATCTACACTTCCATAAAGATTTACAGCCTTGGAAACCTTAAAGGGGCAGTTCTGTCCTCTGTGGTCACTATGAGTAGAAATCAACTTACGGCAACAGATTTGGTTTTGATTATTCTATTAAAAGTAAATCAGTTTTACTAGTCCCAGATACATCAGACAAGTGGTAAATTTCTTCAAGCAATCTGCTGAACTATGCGGTCATCACAGTATCTGTTTCTTCCAGTTTCCCAACATTAAATGTAAACCATCCCAATGCATTTAATTATTAACAATGCTTTGGCTACTTGAATTCCCTTATACTATAACAACTGAAATAATGGGTGAATATAAACTATCAAAAGACACATAAAAAAGGTCTTACCTCTTTGCCTATGGCCGGAGTTTGAGGCTCTTTAACACCTGGGAAGAATAGCTCCATGTTAACTCAAGTGCAATCTCTATATCCCCCAAACACCATTTACGGTGCCTCAGTTTATTGCACATTGGTGGTAATAACTCTCATCACTCTCATGGTCAAGAGTAGCAAATAAAATGTCATCACAGTGGCACACTGACTTTCAACCAACAAATTCCTTTTGTTAGGGAATTTCAGTACCTCACCTTATCAACTGTTCTCATCCTTTGGCACGTAACTGAAAGACAAAAAATACTCAAGATGTTAAGAAATATTCTGTGCAGCAAGGTTACATCAATGCCTTAAATGTTAAGCCTCAGCACAGAATTTTTCAGAAATCCCTTCTGTCCACTACTCTTATACCATCACAGGCTTAATACCTCTAGGCAACAGATTTCTTACTTCCCACAGTACTTTCTCCTAGTTCACTTACCTGGCTGGAAGATCCCATCAAAGGCCACATTGTATCCATGACCAGCACTGTTCCTAAGGAAAAGATTACAGATTTTTAGTTTTTACCAAAAATTACCTTTAAAATTATAACTCATTTTGGGGTCATTTAAGCAAGTTGGGTTCCTCAAATACTTTATTTCATGATAGTAAACGATATATTTGATTCGTTATAAGGGAGCAGCGCACCAAGGTAAAGAACTACTAAACCTAACACTGGCGCACTGTAGACAGCAGCCATTAAGAGAACCACGTGGACTACCGCTATCTACTGCCTTCCCCGAACGCAAGGATGGGGCTGAGGCTCAGGCCTCGGATACCAATTCGGGTTGCCCGACATGCACCGCCATCAGAGCAGTTGGCATTCATCAAGTCTCAGATGTCCCTACCAACACAGGTTTCATCACAGGCAGGGCACGGAAGCAAAAGGCCTCTCCGCAAACTATCCAACAACCCAGCTAGCTGCATTTTAGGTCGCACCGGTACCCAAGGAGCAACCCCGCACCATGCGAATCTCGTGAAGCCAGCAAAGCTCGCGCCTGCCCTAGACAATGCGTCCTTAATTGTGAAGGGCTGGGGACCAAGACCCGGACGCCGGAACAAGACCCTGCTAAGCGACCGCTCAAAACAACCCATACCTATAAAACGACAACTCCCAGCCTGGAAAGACAGAAATGGCGCCCACGCGCCTGTATATAAGAGTTCTTTCTCATTACGTCATGACGTACGCTCCCCACCAGCGTCTGCGTCGGCTGCTTCCCCTCTTCTTTTAGTCTCCTCCTCCAGCCCCACCTCCTTCCCTGCACTCTAAGCCCGCCCCCTTGGCCCCGCCCCGCCGCGCTTTTGTGGGCGGGGACCACCATTGCCCGCGGGACGCAGGACTCCCGCCCTCCTCCCGACTAGGGAGGAAGCGAAGAGAGGGGAGGGGGCGCGAGGGACGGAAAGCGCTGGGGGAGGAGGAAGGGGGGCGGTGTAAGGGTGAGTGATTTCCTTCCGGCACGTCGCCCGCTCCGGGGGAGGGAGTGGGGGGTTTCACTTCCGGGACGGTGTTCCGGCCCATTCCGGCCCATTTCCACCCCCGGAGGTAGGTGCTGCTCCTCGACTGTGCGCGGGTCCCCCCACCCCGGTCCTGCTGCCTTGCACCGGGACCACTTCACGCCGTTTGGGCCGTAGCCTGCTCCTGGGGCAGCAGCCACTTCCCTTCACCCTCCCAAGGCACTGGGCGACCTTCCACCCTCTTGGCCCCGGGCCGGGCCGAGCTGCCGGACCCGCCCCCTCGCGGGGCCCCGCCCTCAGGACCCCGGGATGGGCGGCCCCCTCCCCCACCGCAGCCCGGACACACCCAGATACACACACCCACCTCCGGGCAGCTCCCCGCCCGCCTACGCCTACCGCCTGGACCCGGTCCCGGGGTGCCGCCCCTTTCCCGGTCCTTTACCCTCACCTGAGCGCTCGCTCCCTGGGCCGACGCCTTACTCCCCTTTCCTCCCTCGTTCCTCGGTGACATTTCGCTCCTCTCCCCACGCTTCCTAACGCAGACCAAAGCCACTCAAGTAACGGAGTGGCCGATCCCATGCCGTTCCCGATTCTGCCTCTTACAGCTCTCACCCCTCCAGTGCCGACGGTAGAGAAAGACTACTCGAGGGGCTTCCTCCTCACTGGGGAGTTGCCGGAAAGAGCAATCCAAAAAGGCGCTCGTGTAGTCTCCACAATAAACACATCTGAATTCATGATGGCATCGACAGAGGCTCTTATTGGATTAAAAGTTTCAAAACAAACAAAAACGCTTTGGAAAAAGGTCAGATTGGCTAAAACTGGTTCTTGAAAGAGTGTGTACTACACTTCCCTGTTTACTGATGAGTGTGTTGTAAATAAGGGCCATACTTGTTAGGATAAGTTCCTGAAGTTCCAGATCTTAGGTGACTATGTAATGCGTTGTAAGTTTATAGTTAGATGGATGCGCGTGGCTCTCAAGTCAATGTCTTCCAGTCGAGATTGATAAAAACTGTACTGTCAGATATTGAAGACTATTGGAGGTAGTCACAGGATTACTTTTTCAGCTTTTTTTTTTTTTTTTTTTTTTTTTAGTGTCTTAACGTAAAACTTTTGGCGATACTTGGTAAATGCGCTTTTTTTTAATCTGGATTCTAAATTTCAGAATCAAAGTACCAGCGCCACCTTGAAATTGCCAACTTTGAATTCTGATAGAGGCGGATTTACCTAGTCTTTCCTAATTCAAAGAAGTGAATTTCAAGTTCTCTGCACCTTTATTGAATCCTGACACAGCTGTGGCACTTTTCCTGTCCTAGAATTTTCCTCAGAGTCCTACACCCTTTTTGTAGGGGCTCTGACTCGTGCTTAGAAATATTAGCTTACATGCATATGCGGTATTAGTAACTTTATACTTAAAGCATGCAGTAAAATAGAGGTATGTCTAATCAGCTCATCAGTTTATAATTGCATTTATTCAAAAAGTTTATTTTTCCTCCAAAGAAAAGTTGTGAGGATTTATGTTTAGTCTGCAAATACGTTATGATTAACACTTAAGTAAAAAATCTTAAATGCTTTTTCCTTCTATTCTGTTGAATTTCTATCCATTTTGATGTTGCATGACTTAATAAAGAAAATATGATCATAGCCTGAATTTTAAGGAGTCTGACATTGTTTTTTTTTGTGTTAACTTCTCTTACATTAACACCTAAACTAAAAAAGTTTTTAGCACCACTGTTTCCATATCGAAACATAAGGAAGGTATGTCTCTATGCTTGTAGATTTTGAAATTTTACTAAATAGTGTTTTTATATTGCAAAGTTGGAGTTAGAAAGCAGCAGGGGAATGAAAGGAGCCCTGGTTGCGCAGTGGTTAGAGCGATCAGCTACTAACCAAAAGGTTGGTGGTTTGAAACCACCAGCAGCTCTGTGGGAGAAAGATGTGGCAGTCTGCTTCAGCAGAGATTTACAGCCTTGGAAAACCCTATGGTGTTGCTGTGAGTCAGAATCGACTCGATGACAGTGGGTTTGGTTTGGTTTTTAGAGGAATAAAAACATAATTACTAATGAAAATATGGTTTTTTCTTCCAGCAGGGTTGAATGCCTGCCTGTATCCTCAGGCACGACCATGGAGAAAGGTGGGAACATACAACTGGAGATCCCTGACTTCAGCAATTCTGTTCTGAGCCATCTAAACCAGCTGCGCATGCAAGGCCGTCTCTGTGATATTGTGGTCAATGTGCAAGGACAAGCTTTTCAGGCTCACAAAGTGGTACTGGCTGCCAGTTCCCCCTATTTCCGGGATCACATGTCCTTGAATGAGATGAGTACTGTCTCCATTTCAGTCATCAAGAACCCTACTGTTTTTGAACAGCTACTTTCTTTCTGTTATACAGGGCGAATATGCCTGCAACTGGCAGATATCATCAGCTACCTGACAGCTGCCAGTTTTCTGCAGATGCAGCATATCATAGACAAATGTACACAGATCCTGGAGGGCATTCATTTCAAAATTAACGTGACTGAGGTTGAAGCTGAATTAAGTCAAACGCGGACAAAGCATCAAGAGAGACCTCCAGAGTCTCACAGGGTTACACCGAATCTAAACCGCTCCCTTAGCCCACGACATAATACTCCAAAGGGAAACTGGCGAGGTCAGGTTAGTGCTGTGCTGGATATCAGGGAGCTGAGTCCCCCTGAGGAGTCCACCAGTCCTCAGATAATTGAACAGAGTTCTGATGTAGAGAGCCGGGAGCCCATTCTTCGGATCAACCGAGCAGGACAGTGGTACGTGGAGACAGGAGTAGTAGACCGGGGGATCCGGAGTGAGGATGAAGTTAGGGTTCTTGGAGCAGTACATATCAAAACTGAAAATCTGGAGGAGTGGCTTGGGCCTGAGAATCAGCCTTCTGGAGAAGATGGAAGTAGTGCAGAGGAGGTCACAGCCATGGTGATTGACACCACAGGCCATGGTTCTGTAGGACAGGAAAATTACACCTTAGGGTTTTCCGGAGCCAAGGTGGCAACGAGCAGTGAAATTGACAGGTAAGATTTTTTTTCTTGTCCACGTAATGGCTGTTAGGCAGACATCACTGAAGTGGGCCCTGTGTAGGACAGAGCATCTTTTTTTACCTGATGTTTTTAGCCACGTAAGTTGCTGTTGGGGAAACTGGAGGTGTGCCGAAAGACTTGCATTCTTACTTTTTAAAGCAGGACACTCCTAGTCCTGAAGTATTCACATTATTGTGAGAACTGTGGTAAAGTTAGACACTTCCATGAATCAGAATAGCATCTGCAGCCACCCTAGGATCAGTAATTACCAGGGGCTTCCTCGGAATTGCAGGCAGGGAGCTGATCATCAGGGGAACCTAGCAGCATTGCCCTTCCTGAGTATGTTATCACACAGGTAGGTGGTCTCCGGGAGTTTCACTTTCCTTTGTAGCGGTGTTTACTTTTCTTTACCCCTGCCTACCAAATTGGAAAAAATATGGTACTAGCAATGATTGTTCTTTTTAAGTTAGTATAAACACAGTCATTCTGAAGAAAAGCTTTTTCGATGTTTTTGTTCTGTTTTCACTTGTCATTGGATGATACCTTCCCTGTTTTCTTTCATCTATGACTGCTGCTACCACAGACCTGAGTCTCCTGTTTTTTCCACCAGTGCTACTATGCCCTTACGCCTCACTTTTCTCTTTCTCATATGTTACAGTTTTTAGAACATTTCTTTTTGGTAGAGATACCACTAGTTTTAAGCTAAGTCGATTGAACACAGTTTTAATTGAAAGAAACAATTATCAATTTGGTTGGTAGTATTTGTTCTTTTCCCCTTTTAAAAAGAAGTTAAAATTGACTTCATGAGCATGAAAAGCTAAAGCTGTTGCTTTGGTTTTTACCTCCTCTGAAAGACATACTAGATTTTTATGGAAATAACACGCACCTTCTACGTTTGTTTGCCAGCTGCGCCCTCCCCCTGCGACGTATTTTCATAAGCATAGTTATGCTGCTGTTACATGTTGCTGTAAAAAAAAAAAGAAAATAGCGTAACGTGCTTACAAAAATACCTGTGGCAGGGGCAAGGTTGGCAAATAAAGGTAGAAGGTGGACATTATTGGTGTAAAAATACAGGTGCACGTCCCAGGAATTCAGGTGGTATATACTATATCCTGAAACACTTGTGTGTAGTGATTAAGAGCTCAGCTGCTAACCAAAAGGTCGGCAGTTTGAATCCACCAGGCACTCCTTGGAAACCCTATGGAGCAGTTCTGCTCTGTCCCGTAGGGTCTCTATGAGTCGGAATCAACTTGATGGCAACAGGTTTGGTTTTTTTGGTGTTATGTTCTGTTAGATACAGTATCAGAAGTAATACCAGTTTAAATGTAAAGATTTTTAATCTTCATGATCCATATTAGCAGTCTGAAATGTGTATAATGGGAGGGAAGGGAGGGAACAACCAAAAACCTAATAGTTACATGGAAATAAAATTACAGACCCAGTTTTAATTTACATTCCCTGGATTTCTTTTATGTTTTCCTCCTGGTTGTGTAAGGATTGTTGTTAGTTGCCATTGAATCAATCCTAGCTCATGGTGACCCCATGTGTACAGAGTAGAACTCCTCCTACGGCTTTTAAGCCTTGCCCTTTCAGAAGCAGATTGCCAAGACTTTTTTCTGAGGCACCTCTCTGTGGGGTCAAACCACCAGCCTTTCAGCTAATAGTCAAGCATTTAACTGATTGCGTCACCCAGGGACTCCTGTGTAAGAATAGAGCTTATATTTTAGCCTCAGCTTCACCAGCTCACATGGTCTATCTGATAAGTTGTTTTTTTATTAAAATTACTAGGCAAACCCTTTTTATAGACACCTTCTTTCAAATCATGTATTTACTCTGTGAAAGTATTTCTGAGATTTGCCTGCTGTTCAGTTTGTTCCCCATTCTTCAACCAGTCGATAAAGGGGGAAAGACATGACCATTTTGAAATTCTTTGGCATAAGTTTTCCATTAGTCCCCTTTATGCTCCTCTTCCGACAGATTTAGCCCTTCCGGCAGTATTGTTCCCTTGGTGGAGAGACACAGAGCCAGAAGTGAGTCTCCTGGGAGAATGGATGAGCCTAAGCAGCCCAGCTCCCAGGTATGTAGTCGTGGATTTAGAAGGTGTGGTTGGAGGAATTCTGTGTATGAGCAGCATATAGTGAATAAGAAAGAAAAGCTGTAGGAGAGATAGCAGTGGACCTGTTAAATGACTACTATATTTGATAACTTTTTTCTTTATTCTTGCTTATGAGCATGCAGGAAATACACTTTTGGTGTCAGCAGAGTTTGGGGAGTAGAAAAAGATAACAAGATTGTGGAACTCTTTCCTGATTGTAGGAAACAATCTGTAGTCCTGAGAGTAATACAAAATAACCCCTGAAAACTACGTGCAGGTAATTTAGGACCTGGGGTGGAGAGTCTGGTTTTGTACCTGTGTGGGGCTGTAACACTATATATGCATATATGTAGTTACTAATTTACATATTACTGTATATTCGTGAACAATTGCTTGTGCAATTTTATGTGTGTTTTCTATTTTGTAAGTTTGTATCTTTTCATTTATTTTCTTCCTGAATCTTTTGTTAAACTAAATGTTCTAGAAAGGATAGGAATGATGTCTTCTATCTCCTTTGCTACTCTCCTGAGCACCTAGAGTAAGTGGTTGGCTGGATTTTGTTTGTTTCCTGTATCGTTGAAGGTTAGTTTGAAAAACAGATGGTGAACTCACCAAGTAGAGCACAATAAGTTATAAAAACTTCTGCCTTTAAAAAGAAAACACTGGTGGGTTTTTGTTTTGAATATTTTATAAATTATTACAATTGTATAGCTTACTTTCTTAGTTTCTGCATTATACTAATAGTATCTCGTTCAATTTTTTTCTAAACTATTGGATGTTTGTTATGTATATTGTAATAGCATCAAGAGAATGTTTATATTTACTTGCATATTATTATGCTGGTTTTTTTGGTATCAGAAAAGGAATTGTGACTATTACAAGAGTTTTTTTGTTTTTAATTAGGGGTTAGAGAAAACATTAGGAGCCTGGAGGAAAAATAAGTTTACTCATATAATAAAGGCCCTTTTTCTCTCTTGTCCCTCAAATAGGGTATAATAACTGTGTGAGGGTGTCCACTGTGCAAATACAGTAATGAGACAGACCTTACAACTTAATGGAGTGATGAGATAGACTACAAAATACAGAAAAAATATATAAATAAGGCTATGTGAACTTCAGTAACGGTGTTGGGGGAATAAACAAACCAGTTGCCATTGACTCGATTCCAAGTCCTAACAACCCCATGAGCAGAGTAGAACTGCACTCCATAGGATTTTCAAGGCTGTGACCTTTCAGAAGCAGATCGCAAGGCTTTCTGAGACATCTCTGGGTAGGTTCAAACCTCCAGCCTCTCAGTTAGTAGTTGTCTTAGTCATCTAGTGCTGCTCTAACAAATACCACAAGTGGATGGCTTTCACAAAGAGAAATTTATTTTCTCACAGTCTAGTAGGCTAGGAGTCCAAATTCAGGGTGTCAGCTCCAGAGGAAGGCTTTCTCTTTCTGTCGGCTCTGGAGAAAGGTCCTCATCATCAGTCTACCCCCAGGCTAGGAGCTTCTCTGTGCAGGAACCTCATGTCCAAAGGATGCGCTCTTCTCCTGGTGCTTCTTTCTTGGTGGTATGAGGTCCCCAGCTCTCTACTTGCTTCCCTTTCCTTTTATCTCTTACAAGAGATAAAAGGTGGTGCAGTCCACACCCCAGGGAAACTCCCTTTACATTGGATCAGGGATGTGACCTGGGTTAGGGTCGTGTTACAGTCCCACCCTAATCGTTTTTAATGTAAAATTACAATCACAACATCGAGGACAACCACACACCACTGGGAATCATGGCATAGCCAAATTGATAAACACATTTTTGGGGGGATAAATTCAATCCATGACAGCAGTCCAGCACTTAACCATTTGCACCACCCAGAGACTCCGTTGGGAGAACGTTGTTGTTTTTGTGTGCCATTGAGTCAATTCTGACTCAGAGTGACCTTATATGACAGAGTAGAACTGCCCCATAGGGTTTCCTAGGCTGTAATCTTTACAGGGTCATATCTCCAGGTCTTTTTTCCCGTGGTGAGGCTGGTGGGTTTGAACAGCCAACCTTTTGATTAGCAGCTCAGCCTGCCTTAAGACAAATGATAAAAATTGGAATTCTGCAAGGGTGTTTACCTGGCTGACTCAGAAGGTACAGGCTGTAAAGAAATAAGAGATAATATTGCCTAGAAATGGTATTGGAGCCCTGGTGGCGCAGTGATTAAAGCACTCAGCAGCTAACTGAAAGGTCAGCGGTTTGAACACACCAGCCGTTCCATGGGAGAAAGATGTGGCAGTCTGCTCCCATAAAGATTACAGCCTAGGAAACCCTATGGGGCAGTTCTATTCTGTTCTATAGGATGTCTGAGTCTGAATTGACTGGATGGCACACAACAGAGATGATATTAAGGAATGAGTTAATATGTTCCTTAAGATGTGTGAAAGTTTGTTATAGTGAGTCTGTTCACTGGTTACCTTTCCCTGCCACAGAGAACTAAAACAGGACGTGGACTTACATTACAGTAAGAAAGAATTTTGATAGACTTAAAGAAGTCTCTTAATTTTAAAGGTGCTTAAACTGGAACAGACTAGTAAAGTCACTCCTTTATTCAAAAACATTCTGTGGTTTTTTCTTTTTCTACTACATGAAAGTTAAAATTGTTAGCTTGATTTTCCAAGTAATTTATAATCTTTCTAACCCAGCTCTTCCCACCACTCACCAGCATTCACCATCTGTCCTAAACAGGCCAACTTTCTGTGTGTGTCAGAACCACATCAAACTTATTCCTGTCTTTGCACCTCGATTTTGAGCTGGCCCGTTCTTCCCAGGTGTCTGGGTTCTCCCCAAGGCCCAGCTCCCATTTCCATCTGCTCTGATTAGCCCACTTTTCTTTGATCTTTTCTTCTTAAACCAATGTAGCATTTACAGATAGTGCCATATAATTTTTGTGTCCCCTTCTAGATTGAAATCTCCTTGAGAGTAGAAACCACATTTTTTAATCTTTGTGTCTTTGAAATTGTCTTATCAGGTGCCCAATAAATAGGGATTGTTTTACCTCTAAGTAGCTCTGGGTGACTAGGATTATTTAGTAGGTACCCAATAAATAGGCACCTATGAAATAGTTGTTTGTGAAATCCCAAATTTTGAAGATCTATAAATAAAATTAACACACCAAATCAGATGTTTTTTTTTTAAAGTCTCTTCAATTCTTTGAGTCTCTAATAATTGATTGGGTTGATGGGAGGCTTTGAAGTCCATGTCAAGAATCTAGACTGGTATCTGTTTTAGAAAATATAGGAATTATTCATTTATGCAATAATTTATTAAGAAATAGTTATTGAATACCTACTACATACCAGACACTGATCAAGATCCTAAATATTCGGGAGTATGGAATGTCCCTGTATTTACAGAGTTTACAATCTAGTAGGGAATTGCCAAGTGGGAGAACTGAAATTATCCACCTCTTAGCATAGAACCAGGAGGTGGCTATTTTTGCCCTTGCTTCATTTCAGAGTTCAAAGGAATAGAACTTCCAAAGATGTATTGCTGTTTTTGACAGGGGCTTAATCTACATTTTATGCTCATTTATTTTTTCTTTTATTACAGCTTTATTATAGTAGTATCTTAGGTGAGACCAATCATAAGGTGTGATTTTTGTAATTATAGTTCATTACTGATCATTAGAATACATTTGTGTTCTGCTTGTGAACAATACTGGTATGACATTACTTTCTTTAATGTTGGAGAGTTTTTTTTTTTTAAGGGAATTGGTACCTTCTGAAGTCGCCCTGATGGTGCAGTGGTTAAAGCGATTGACTGCTAACTGAAGGGTCATTGGTTCGAAACCACCAGTGGCTCACAGAAGAAAGATGTGGCAGTCTGCTTCTATAGAGATTTACAGCCTTGGAAACCCTATGGGGTTGCTATGAGTCAGAATCGACTCCATGGCAGTGGGTTTGGTTTTTTTCTTAGTTTAGCTACCTTCAAGATTATAAATAATATCTTGAGTTTCTAATGTTCAATACTAGCTTGTATTTAATGAGTACCTAACAGGTACTGGGCCCCTGGTGGTGCAGTGGTTAAGTGTTTGGCTGCTTAACCAAAAGGTCAGCAGTTCAGATCCACCAGCTGCTCCTTGGAAACTCTATGGGGCAGTTCTCCTCTGTCCTGTAGGGTCACTATGAGCCAGAATCGACTTGACAGCAGTGGGTTAACAGATGATACATTAAGCACTTTAGTGTATTAACTCCTTCAGTGCTCATAGCAAACTATGAGAGAGATGTTGTTATTGTATATGTTTTACAGATGAGGAACTGAGGAGTAGGGTAGTTAAGTAATTTGTTCAGGCTTAAACAATAAGTAGAATGCAGTTGAACTCAGCTTGCAGCACCTTAATTGCTATACTATACTATTCATTTAAAATATTTCAGTTTACTATTATTATATTTGATTCTCATGAGACTCCCATAAAGTCAGCAAAGCATATGATTACCTTTCCATTTTATGAATGGGAAAAACTGAGCTTCAGAGAAGTTATTCTTTGCTTTGTCCATGGTCATCCAAGAAGTTTTAGTGGGATTCCTTTGTCATTTCAGTTTTGATTATCCAGGGAAGTGGAGCAGAAAAAAATGTTATATAAAACAAATCAGATATAATCTAAAATCTCAGTCTTACCGTTCAACTCTCAACTTCACATAACTGCTTCCCAAACTACTAGTAACTGCCTCTGTTGGAATGCTGAAGAGCATCATCAGCTGACACATGTAAAAGGAGACAAAGCACATTTTTAGAACTCAAAGAAAAGGGCCCAAGAATAATTGCAAACTATATGACTCTTTCTCTAGTTAATTCAGAGTCAACATTTGATATTTTCTCCTTTTTGCATTGATACTTTAGCCTCTGTTGTTGTTGTTGTTAGGTTCCGTCGAGTCATTTTCCACTCCTAGTGACCACATGTGATGGAGAAGAACTGCCCCATACAGTTTTCTTGGCTGTAATCTTTATGGAAGCCGATTGCCAGGTCTTTCTCCCACAGTGCCACTGGGTGGGTTTGAACCACCAACCTTTTGGTTAGCAGCTGAACACTTAGCAATTTGCACCACCAGGATTCCTCTAGCCTCGGTTAAAATGTATATAATTCCCCCCTACATATTTAAAAAAGATTTTTGATTACTGTTTTTTCTTATATAGTGAGTTCAGAAATCCATAGGCTGAAAAACATCAGTAAATAATTTTTAAATGGTAATTATTATAGAATTTTGCCAGAAAAGCATTTATAATCCAAGATTTTTAAATTATTCATTCAAAGGAATGTGTTGTTTCTATTCCCTCTCAGCTTTCACATAGGAGGAACCAGTATTTATTTCATATATTAAATACATTGACCATTTAGATTGTTAATGTTCAGATTGGATTAAACAAGACTGAGATCTTACTTGATTCATATTAAGAAATTACTATTTTTTAAGTGTGGTTAGTAGTATTTTGATTATATTAAGATAAAAGAGTCTTCATCTTCTATAGATAACTGAAGTGTTATGGATGAAATGATATGTCTGGGATTTGCTTGAATATAATTTACAAAAGGAAAGAAATAGGTGTGGGTAAAGAAGAAACAATTGTCTTTAGGTTGGTAATTGGTAGATGATAATGTACTATTCTGTCTAAAATTTTCAATAATAAAAAGTTTAAAAAATATATTATTTGACATAAAGAAATTAAAATAAATTTTGTGTTTTAAATATTTGTTTTTACTGTTAATTACTCATGTAACAGAGACAAAGCACGTTATTTTGCAATAACTTGAGGTGTTCATTACCTAATTAAAAGTAGAGTTCAGTGCTGCTTTTATAATACTTGCTTTTTTTAATGTTTTAAATAAACTTATTATCACAACATAAGAAATTTAACTTGGGGGAGGGGGGAAGGGACATAGTTTGTAAACTAAGGGAGATTGAAGAAATATATAAACCACAGATTATATTATTTACTTTTAATAAGCGGTTTAAATCAGTTGAAAACCACTACATATAATATGTATATAGAACAAGACAATAATATGTCTGCAAGATCACAGAGGGCAAGATCAGAAACAACCAACTTTCTCTGTGGTGCCTATCGTTGTATTTGGTGGATAATGGTCATTAGTTAATACTTACTGATTATTGAGTTATGAAAGATCATAGGAAGGATAACCAAGTTAGTAAATTCATCTCTCAGTCTAGTTTCCTTTCCTAGCTCTTCTATCAATTTACTCTAAAGTCAGTTAAACTTTGAGTAGTCTATAAAATGAAGATAATGTATTAGTATGGTACTAAAATATTTTTTGATAAAAAGGAATGCCGTTGTGCACAAATTGAATAAATTTTTATAAAGCTAGTTACTCCTGGATTAAAATTCGTATTCATGATAATGTTGTAAATATAATTTATAAGGTGCTTGCCATTATGTAGTAAGTCTGCACTCCCCAATATAATAGCCATTAGCCACAGGTGGCTGTTTAATTTTTAATAAGAAGTAATTATTAAAAGTTTAATTCCTCAGTCACACTAGCCATATTACAAGTGCTCCCTAGCCACATGTGGCTAGTGGCTACCGTATTGGATGGCACAGATTATAGAACATTACATCACAGCAAATCATCACTTGTCTAGAACATAATTGAAAAATTAGGGTCCAAGGAGATGATATAAGTGGGCTCTGATTCTCCTACCTCTATAAAATAGCACATTCAGCAAAACTTCAGTAATAATCTAGAAAGTAACTTCATTGTCTTGCTTGTTTATGGCAATTGAATATAGTGTCCTTAGTTGTTTTGTTTTTGTTTTTAATATACTCTTAACAGCTTTACTTCTTGGTGATAAATTTACTGTTTGATTCTTCACTAAAAATAAGCATATAGCTTATTAACAGAAGTAAAAATATATATAAGATTTCCTTTAACCTGTATGCTTAATAGTATATGTTCTTTCTTGCTTATGTTCCTCCCCTGGCACAGGTGGAAGAGTCAGCAATGATGGGAGTAAGTGGCTATGTGGAATACCTCCGAGAGCAGGAAGTATCTGAGCGGTGGTTCCGCTACAACCCCCGTCTTACCTGTATCTACTGCGCCAAATCTTTCAATCAGAAGGGGAGCCTGGACCGCCACATGCGCCTGCACATGGGGATCACACCATTTGTCTGCCGCATGTGTGGCAAGAAGTATACCCGGAAAGATCAGCTGGAGTATCACATCCGCAAGCACACAGGCAACAAGCCCTTTCATTGTCATGTTTGTGGCAAAAGTTTCCCCTTCCAGGCCATCTTGAATCAGCACTTTCGCAAAAACCACCCTGGCTGTGTACCCCTGGAGGGGCCTCACAGTATCTCTCCTGAAACAACTGTCACATCTCGAGGACAAGCTGAGGAAGAATCACCTTCACAGGAAGAGACAGTTGCCCCTGGAGAAATAGCCCAGGGCTCTGTGTCCACCACTGGGCCAGATTGAAGCATCGAGGGGGAGGGGGCAGACCCTCTTCCCCTCTGGGCCATAAGCAGCCAGTATTAGGGCCACGGGCTGGTACTTAGATTCACAAAATGCCACATCACCAGACTGGAAGAAGCTTCCAAGATGTTGCCAAACTAGAGGATCAGCAACATACACAAAAGCACTAAAGGTTCTTCCCTTCCTCCTTCCCAACCTCACACTTTGGAAAATAATCAAGGAAGTCGACTTTCTAATTCAGGGATCAACAGCCTTGGTTTGTTAACTTTATAAGAAAAAAAGTTTTTTTAGCAAAACAGTGGTAAATGCTCATTTATCTACCGGTCATGTTTGAACACTGGACTTTGGTCCATATCATCTTGATGGCTGTAATTGCCCAGATTTAAAAAATGCAGCAGGAGCCTTGGTCATCTGAACCAGCCAGCCATAGGAGAGGAGGAGGTAGTCCTGATGGTGATAATGAGGAGGAATTTCTCTTCTTCCTTCCCTGTCAAAAAGTGCAATTTACTATTTCAAGAAAGAAATTGATCCTGGTGGTCCTTATTGCTTTGAAATGTTAGACTTTATCTTTGCCCTGGCTAGGGAGCTAATATTTTGTCTGATTGTTTCATGTAAGCAGCCATCTTGGAGCAGTATTCTAGTGGGCAGCATCACCTGAAGAGCTTTAAGCAACTGGAAGTAAATGAGCAGCAGAATATGCACTGGGCATTGCTACATTTGGGGGCTTGAGTGTTGTGTTGAGGAAGAGGGAAGCAGGGAAGGAAATGTTCTTATGTTTTGCAAATGTTGAACAGTACAGAGCCATACTGCAACTTCCTGACTGGTATTTGTAAACCATAGTGCTCAGACGTCTTCAAATGTTAGGAAATGGCTCTAGTCCAGATGAAGTAATGTGTTAGGCTGACTACCAAAGTTTCATCCCGTCTCTTCGGCTCCTAGTTTCACATAACAGCAATATGGTACATCAAAATGTCATTTCCAGTGCAGTGAGCCTGGATTGTATTTTTAAATCCACAGGTCTCTACATTTGATAACTTTTATATGAAGTTTTAAACACATTTTTTCTGCAGTATTGTGGTTGAAGAAATTCAGCACTATGGTTCTTATTGCAACCACAATTCCATTTCTTTCTACATACGTTATAATTTATATTTTCAGTCCAATAGAAGAACCTCGCTAAATCTGTGTCTCGGGTCTGCAAATCTTGTGATTCATAAGCCAACCATCAGCAAGTTGCTGATGACTCCAGGAGCTTTGCTTTTTAATAATACGCTACAGGGCATTTACCAGAAAACATCATGCACAATCATGTTGCAATAAATGACCAAGGGATCAGTTTTGATCTGGTTTGGTTACTTACTCATTCCTAAGATTTTTTAAACTTCAAGGGACCTTTTTGGTAATTCTAGGTACTTCTAAGATTCTTACTCCAGCACTGAGAGTCAGGAAGAACCAAACAAGTAGAGCTTCGGATGTCCTGTCTTGCATACAGAGGGAGAAGGAGGAATATTAAGGGATGCAGGCAAGTCAATGCTTACAAGTTACAGTGCAAATAGAAAAGAAAAAAAATCTCTAGCTTCTCTTGATTAATTGTTGATTCTTTTAAAGAGTATTTAAATATGTAGTTAAGAAATTGTTTTGGTGCAGAGGCACAGATGATTTAAAAGAGTCTTGAGAGAGGGGCTAGTCGTGCCTGCAGCGTGAGCCATTTGTGAGAATGCTAGTTGTAGGCACTCTTCTGAGAATGCTTTGTGGTATGTGGAGAGGTGGAAAAGAGTGGTGTTCCTTTGATGATAAGTTAAAATGCAAAGAGTAGCTAAGAGCCTACCTTTAAAGGTAGTGCTGGGGCTACATTTTGTCTTTAAGAGACAAAGACTGGGGCATTCTCTTTCGATGGGCAACAGCGTGATAGATTAAAAATGTCTTCAGGGGCTATGTTAGGGACCAGCTGTGCTCTGTGGCATAAAAAAGATTGAATTTAAATTAGACTCAGATCCTTAGGGAAGCATTTCAGCTGGTACTCGAGTCTCTCAATGGTCAGGTTTTGCCATTACTGAAAAGGCAGGGAGGTGAGAAGTATAAACTGCTGCTTGGATGGAGCTTTTAAGCGTACCAAAAATATTTAAGTCCATCCTACTTTTGAGAAATAGTATGCTGAAAAGTTCTTTATTTGCTTTGTTAGTTTCTTAGAAGATTATATGTGAGAAAATAGAGGTTTTTAAACTATTAACAAATTGTAAAAGTGGAGTGCAGTAATTTCTGTAAAGAGAAACTTTGCAGCATTTGTCAATACTCCATCCAGGTTTAGCAACAAACGTCTTAAATGCAGTAGGGACTGTGTAATTCATGTGCAAATGCTCTGAGTGTTTGGTGGGTTCCTCCTCCCTTTTCTTCACTTCTAATAGGTTTTTACTGTATTGATACTGTGAATAGAGTGCTTCCCAGTCATCTAGGGCCACGTCGACATAGTCGTGTTTGCTGGTTCTCTCTTAGTTGGCCTAGCCAGAGCCATGAAGTTCATGAAAATTCAAGCCAGGCTAGCTTTTAAACAAATTAAAGTTTCAGAAAGTAATTTCCCTGTTTTAGTTAGATACTGTTAGTTCTAAATAACTATCCAAGATTTTTATGCAGGTTCACTGTGACATTGCCCTAGTTCTTAGCTAACATCACTGTAGTATCATAGGAGTTAGTAGTATTTTAGCTGCATCAATGAATAGCTATATTGGTGTGTGCATGGCGGATACCTCTCTTAAGGATGAACTTAAGCAGATGCTGAAAACTGATTACCAAATCTTAACTTGCACGTGTCACCTTGTGAAGGGGACTACATTAGCAATGAGAGCTTAATTATCATTAAATACTTTAATGCCGTGAAATTGCAAGCACTGGGACTGTTCTCATTCATTGAGTGACACTTAATAGCAAAAAAAGCTACCCAGTATTCTCAGCAAAAGAAGAGAGATGACAGTATGTTAATCTATTTTCATTCCGAGGTGCATCTTTTATTCTCTCTGAATGCTGATCTTATTACCAGTATAAAATACAGCATTGGCGTGAACGGTAACACTGTACTTAGGCAGAAAGGCTCTTTCTAATGACTTGTTCTTGCTTTACTCAGAACCATATTTACCTCTGAACTTAGGTGAGTTTTATTTTGTGTAAATTGTAAACTACCCCAAGCCATTTTATTATACCAGAGTGCTAAATCTAATCTTGAATATGTAAAAACAAAGTAGTTAGTAAAGGATAGAGTTGGAAAAGAAAGAAGATACCAGTTAAGGAAAGTTTTCTTGTTACTGTTTTTTTTGTATTTTTTGATATTTCCAGTTCCCTCTACATCAATGAAACAGGGTTTTCCAAAGATGGTATGACAATAGAAATACACTGTTTTAAAACATTATAATGAAACATAATGACCTTTGTTGGAAGTGGACGGGTGTAAGAGTGAAATAGTGAACTTCATGCTTAATAGCTGAGTAATCTTTGGTCAGGAAATAACTTTTTAAAAGTTTTAGCTGTTACTTGACACTAATTGTGTTTCTTTTAACGGGTGATAGCTACATTTTGTTTGACTAGAAAATCTAATTTAAGGAAATGTAAGCAATGGATAATGGAAAGGAAATTAAATTGAACAGTGACAAAAGTAGTCTTAATCACAGTGAAAAAGCTTTTAATCAGGAAGAAGGAGTTGGAGTCCTGAAAGTTTTTCTTTTTTCAGACACAACAGACGTGATTTTTTTTTTCCTTGTCCTCAAATGCCTTTCCCTTTACTGGGTACTTATGTGTTGAAGAAATAGTAGATGAGTCTTTACTAAACTCACTCTTTGAAAATGGAGCTCTTAAGACATGTGGGAGAAAGTGCAAAATATTGAAGTATTCTGGCTGCTGAGATTTAGAAAAGGGACAAGTAACCAAGTGAGCTAAAGCCCTTCACCTGGGAAGATGCCCTTCAGCAAAATATATCCCTAGGACTTATAAATTAGGTCAGGGTTTGGCAAACTTCAGCCCGTAGGCCAAATCCTGAAGCCACCTGTTTGTGTAAATAAAATTATACATGAACAGGACCACGCCCATCCATTTAGGTGTTGTTTCTGGTTACTTTTCCCCTATAACATCAGAGTTCGAGTACTTGTGACAGAGATCACATAGCCTGCAAAGCCTAAATATTTGCTGCCTGGCACTTTACAGAAAAAGTTTTCCAACTTAGATTTGAATGATTTACCACCACCACCACCACCACCACCTCCCGCACCACCACCACCTCCCCCCACCATGTGTTGCTCATGCCATTTTGCCTTTAAAATATTTTGGTTGAAGATTTTAATTCATACTGCCATGTATGCATCAGTTTGTTGAAAGAGTTTGCTGTCTCTTTCTACATCCTTTTCTCATAATCCTGCTCATGCTCCCTTTTCACAATTCCTATTGCTTTAAAAGCATTTACAATAGGACTTATGTAGGAGGGTAGTTATAAACACGACAAGATAATTCTTAAAAATAATTTTCGTGCATAATAATGTATGATTAAATGAGTACTATGTTTACATAAAGTACCATTAAAAAAATAATGTTTTGATAAATAAGTTTTGCCATTCCTTTGAGTTAAATTGAACTGGTTTACATAATGAATTTAATCCCACTAAGATTAAACAGAGTACTGTTTTTCTAGATTAGAAACCTCTACCCTTTCCCTGGAGTATAAATCTTCAGTTTACTTTCCTCAAGTAAACTCTCTGTGTTCCATGTGGGGTAGTAAAACACCAAATCTTTTTCCATAAACCTCTCACCTTTTTTATTTCTGGATGTTTTCATGTTTTAGAACATTATATTGAAACATCAGAGGATTTCAAATTCTTCTTGGACCTACATTCCAATTTCTGTTACTGTCTGTAATTCTTCTAAATATAGATTGGGCCATCATATATTTGTGAATGTTCATTCTTATTTATATCAGAATGTGGAAAATATGGAAAATGTTGAAGGTGGTTATAAACAGAAATCCTTGCAAGAGGAGAATATAATTACTCGCCATTTGGAAATAATACATGGACATCTGAGTTAAAGCTTTCTTGTCCGTACTGATACAATGCAGTGAATTTGATTCTTACTTTATGTGAGCTCTGTCAACTTAAAGTGTGGGTGAGTGACCTAGCATCTTCACTAGGCATTTTATTCTTAAAGATGCCTTCTTCTGGGTTGGATATCAGTAAGCTTTAGATGATATACCCTCTGAGTGGCCAGTGATTTTCATCTCTAAAGTTCCAGAATATTTGCCCAGGTTAGATCTCCCTTACGTTAGAGCACTTACACCCATAGTAATAGTGGGTTCTTGAGATTTTAGTGTTTTTTCTGATGAACCTGGGGTTCTGATTAATCTGGGATATAAGACTTATGAAAGAAATTGAATTTAGATAGCCCAGTGAATCATCTGCATCCAGCTCTATTTGACGTCTTGGTAGTGGATGTCATTTAAACGTGAATACATTGAAAGCAAGGTATTGCCAAGCATGATTTCTTTGATAATTTTCAGTTTTATTTTTTCCTTCTTATTCTTAAATGGTGCTTTTCCAAAGCTAGTCTTTTTACTTTGCAGTGAGTAGGTTTTCTTGCTCAGAGTAAGCCTGAGTTAGATTTCATGAGTATGTTGAAACATCTGAATAAGTTATATCCCAAAGGAGGTAATTATTGATAGGGACAGTGACACCAGAACCTGGAAGGTGTCTACAATTATCCAGACTATTGGAGAGACAGACTATCATTTCTCTTAACTGTGACACACAGCAAAGACTCGGGAAGGCAAATATTACTTGAAATCCACGTTATCTTTAGAGGGCACATGTATAAATACATTTCTTATCTCTTATCTTTCCCATTATCTATATAACAGAAGTAACTCCCATCTAAGCACAGTTAGGAGAGGCCCACTAGCTAAAATGCTGGAAGCTTTAAACAAAGCTAAGTTATAAAGACAGAGCAGTTAATGGAAAAAACTTTTCTAATTCTTGCTCCTTTCATGTCTACTTAGTCTGGTTGTGGAGGCCAGAATTCACCATCTAGTTAAGAAGGGTATATATGCAGCATTTCATATGTCCAACAACACGATTTAATATACTGTGAATCTTGGAATCTCGATCCATAGTTCCAGAAGTCAAAGTATCTCATGGAAAAATGTTGCAGATTCTGTGAAATTACTTATCTTAAGTGATAAGTAATTTGTTCCATTAAGTAAATATTAAATGCTTTTTGGTACAAGATAGTGTGCTTGGATTTTGTATAACAAAAGTGGCTTTAGACATACTTTAGATGTGGCTTCCTGTACTTGAGAGTCCTAAACCCACTTGGTTAGAGTCTGAGTTGTATGCTTTCAAAAAGCCTGCACTTTTCTCTACAAAGATAAGAGATCAAAAAGGGGGACATAATTAACTGTACTAAGTGCTTTACTAGCTTCCTCACATTTAACCCTCAAAATAATCCTAAGAGGTAATAACAGTAGAACTAAAAATAGCTGACTTTTTTTTTTTTAATACTTACTATGTGCCAGGCACAGTTTTATGTGCTTTACATTGATTAACTCACCTAATTGTTATGACAACTCTATGAGGCAGATGCTGTCATTATCCTCATTTTAGAGGGGAGGTTGCCCTGGGCAGTCTTAATACTAGAGTGGACACTCTTAATAGACTGTGTTGCCTCTGGTAGGTGTAACTATACCACATTTTATAGATCAGGAAACTGATGAGCCCAAGGTTATACAAAAAAATAAAATGCCAAGCCAGTATTTACTGATCTGATTCTAAAGCCTAGACTATCCTCACCACATCCCATTTACTCTATCATAGAGAATTGTGGTGAACTGGAATATACAATAGCTAGTAAACAGTACTGCTTTTGGAAAACTTTAAGTGATGGGAAGACTTCAAAAGATGATGCAGTTGATCTCTAAGCAGAAGTTGAATGGGGAATATTTTCTGGGAATAGTGCCACTGATTGATTTGGTAGGTCTAATTGTGAGTGAGTGAGTTACTACCAAGGCAAAAATTGAAAGACAGTGTTCCATTTTTGTGTTGCCATACTTCAAATTACACCAAACCATAGTAACTTAAAACAACAACCATTTTATTATATCTCAAGATTTTGTGAATCCATTTCAGGAAGGGCTTGTCTGGGCAATTCTTTTGATTCTTGTGGTGACGACTCAGATCACTTGGTAGTATTCAGCTGGTAGTTGCACTGGTCTTGATGGTGAAAGACGATCTCACTCGTGTATCTGAACCTTGACGGGGAGAGGTAGAAGGCTGGGCTCCTCTCCCCCTCCATGGAGTCTTTTCATCAGGGTAGTTGGACTTCTTACATAGCAGCTCTGGGCTCCAAGAGGCTAAGGCAGAAGATGTTAGTCCTCTTAAAGGCCAGGCCCAGAACTGTCATAGAGTCACCACCATACATTATTGTCAAAGCAGTCTCTGGTCAGCCCAGATTCAAGGGGAAAGGAAAGACCCTACCATTTGATGGGAGGAGTGTCAAGAGTTTGTGGCTATCTTTAATCTGTTACAGAGATCTTCTGATTTGTTTTATCTTGACTCTTCTGTGTTCTTCATTTAGATCAGATGTTTGTGCCATAGAAACCATTTATTATAGATATTATTGTATATGTTAGTATATATATTATGGGTCAGTAAAGGAGCTAGAAAGAGAATGAGACAAATATCCTGGGACAGATTTCATTAGCTACTTCCCCAGTTTCATTTATCTTACAGCAAATTTTTTTTTTTTTTTTTTTTATGCACTGTGTTCTACATTGTGAACATTTGCCTATCTTTTCTGTGAAGCCACAGTAACTGTACATGCTGAGCCAGAAATATTCCAGAGGGAACAAAGAGCTTGCTGTTAGAGAACCTGAGAGACATTAGCTGTATTTTAAGTTTACAAATAGGTGAAAACTCGTGTGGTATGAAAAATTTGTTTGGCTACTAAATCTCTTGGAACAGGAGTTTCGACTGTGTGGCTAAAATGGATCATATTCTTGAAATGATTGAAAGTTTTACCTGTTTAATTTAGTCCAGTCTCTACTGCCACTGTACATCCTCCAGCACAGTTCTGAGCTAAAAGATGAATCGGTTCATCCCACTCTTATTTCCTATGGGAAAATCCATTCCCCAATTTTATATGATGTTAATCTTTAAAAATTAGCATATGCTACCAGCCTCTTTCATCTAAAACAACAGATCATTGAGGTTTTATGATTTTTGGTTAGATTTGTCAGATTTGCCTTATTTAATTCCTGATGACTTGTAATAATTAGACTGCCTTGAGAAGAAATAGGGGCAGAAAATGAAATTCTACTCTACAAATACCCACTGCCGTCAAGTCGATTCTGACTCATAGCAACCCTATAGGGCAGAGTAGAACTGCCCCATAGGCTTCCCAAGGCTGTAAATCTTTACAGAAGCAGACTGCTACATCTTTCTCCTGGGAAGTGGCTGATGAGTTTGAACTGCCAACCTTTTGGTTAGCAGTTGAGTGCTTTAAACACTGTGCCACCAGGTCTCCTTACTCTACAAATGGTCATCCCCAAATCAATATATTTGGTAGAATCAATATATTCTACCTCCCACTAAAGGCTAAGCATATTCAAGAAAGCTTTGGGTTTATCCATTCCATATGCAGTGAATTCTTGGAGAATTAGCCATGAGAGAGTCTTGCTGGTCATCCCCAATAATCATCTAGTAAAAAGATCTCTGTTCTTGGGTCAGGCTTAACCAAAAAAACCAAACTCGTTGCCATCAAGTCAATTCCGACTCATAGTGACCCTGTGGGGTCAGGCCTTAGGAGTTGTAAATACTGAATATAAAAAGGGCACACAGGGCCAAAGACTTAAGTTAGGGTTGTTCTGCAAAATGCTATAATGAAGGGAAAAAGACTACATTGGCTGCTGTAGTTGGATAACCAGGGATGGATGAGGTGTTTGAGGTATTTAGGCATAAAGATTAATTAGATTTTTCATATAAAGATTGGGACAAATTTTAATTAATAAAAATATGCCTTAAAATTTTCTCATTTATCTGCATATCCACTCTCATGTGATCTACTTACCTCAAAGTCTGCCCTTTGTGGACAGAGAAAGCCTTTGAAAATATATTCCCTGGCAATGAGAAATGTTATTACAATAATCTATGGAGATGTCTCTTATTTTGTATTATATATAGCTCTTTGGTCTCTCCTGTAACTCCTTTGTGAATTTTACATTTGAAATCATCTGTTGGTTATACAAAAATTAGTTTTAAGGTCTTGAATTACAAAAGAGAACAAGTTTAGAAAAAAGGGAACGTTGTAAATTGACAAAACATTCTTTCTTTTCAGCATCACAAGTCTAAACCGTTTCAAGCTAATCACAATGCCTTGAGTGAGGTTTAGATTTCTGCTTTCAGCCACATCTTAATGTAGATGTTTATGACATATTTTAAATTGATCTACTGAGTTTCCATTAGAGTAATAGAATCCTAACTGTAGTGGCTCTTTAAGTACCGCTGAAAAACAAAATTACAAGATAGGGAACAAAGCTTAAAATATGTGTCCTCTATAAGCCAAGATACTAAAACAGGATCACTAAGAGTGTGACTGAAATCCACCTCTAGAATGGCTATCAGTCAGATAGCAAACATATTTAGAATTTGTATGGTATTTCTGATATTTTTAAAAATAATTTTAAATCAGTAACTTGAATTTTTAAAGAATGAGCCTTTTGGGTTTTTTTGAAACTAGCCCAATAAAAATAACACTAATATAAATAATTATATATGGATGTGTATTGAACAGAGTGGTATGGTAAAGATAGTTCTTGCAGATAACTTTTGTGGGAAGTTTGACTATTTTCTTAATATCTTTTTTTCATAAATTTATGTTTATAAATGTATTTACTCATCCACTGTGACCTTGGTAGCACAGAAGCATTTTGTTAGGTGTATCATTGGTTCTGAAAATCAAATTCTTGGCATAGTAAACTATGAGCTTTTTGTTGCTTTGTATTTTGGCTAAAAGAATTATTTCTGTGCACTTTCTATTTATAAAGATGTTGTAACAATGCACCCACTTAGTGCAGCTGTTCTTTAGAGACAAAAGATTTAGGTGTTAAAGTGAAATGGGTGTTTAAAAACCTGGCAAAAGGGAGGGACCTCAAAATAATACTTCTGGCTTGCATCTACCTGGGCTGGGGAATAATATAAAATTTATGTTGAAAGTAGCTGTGGGGATAGGTGTGCTATTGCTGTGCATTGCAGTATTGCTATGAGTTGCCAGCTATGTGTGAGCTTATGTGTATATGTGAGAAAAAGATGTTTGATGAAGTCAGTGCAGAATATTCTACCTCCCACTAAAGACCGAGCATATTCCAAGATTGTCCTGTAGCCCCTTGGGTGGGAGGCTAGATGCCTCAGTCACTGTCCTCCCCATTTTCTTCTACACTCACTTCAGCTCCTCTACCTCCGAGCACTTGACTGAAGAAAGAATATAGCTTTCTGTACCAAGTAAAGGGAAACTAGACCCAAGATAGAGAGTCCTGAGATACCTGAAATTCTCTTTGTTATGCTCTGATGTTAATGTTTGGTTTTGTTGTCCAAACCAGTGTCAGAACCCTTGGGTTTAGTGCTTTTATCCATTGGCTTCTATTTGGCAAGAGTAATCAGTGGAGGTGGAATCTTTGTTTGTTTTTAATGATGTACCTAACTCCTTTATGTAGGAATCAACTCAGCAGCACACAACAACAACCCACTCCTTTTAAATGTGAAAAAACTTGTTTTGAACCCCCAATTTTTATTTTCAGTTGTCATTTACGGTCCATTTTGGGGGAAACTGGGATATTAACCGTATTTTCCTGATAGTGAGCCTTCTGCCCATATCTTACATGCAGGTATGTAAGGTATGGATTTTCAGATGACCTGTTTTGCTTTTGATCACTCCACAGAGAGAAATTCTTGTTTTTAATGTCAGTACTGTTGTGATAGTCAGGATGGCCTCTATTGAATGTTGTGAGTATCAGAAGATTCTGTTTCAGTAGTAAAATGCCACTATGCAGGACACCTAGTCTTTAAATCCAGTTGCCATAGCATTCAACTGATTTTCCATTTAGGGCACTAGTAAGTACACTGAGCCAAGTTGGGTTACTTATTTGAACATTTGTACAGCTGAGGAAGGACTGTTGGCCCTTTAACAGTTATCCTGGAATGCTTTTCATTCTAATGCTCTGGCTAGTTGTAATGTCTCAACAAGAATTCTCTGGTTAGGAGTGAAAATGAGAGAATGATTCATTTTCAGATTTTTAGAGGTTGGTGCCTATGTCTTAAGTACTAGCTGATAAGTAGTAATTTTCTTCCTGGTGACTTAGGGTAGGGGGAATGACAGTACTGAGAATGTGAAATTCCAAAAACTGAGACAAGCATTACTCATAGGACAACTTATATAGTAACTTCTGCCCAAATACAGTATGAATCCTATAGGGAGATGAGTGGTAAAACCATATGAGTCTATTTATCACAACTATATTTTTTTCGAACTGTAGAATAGTTCTCAGCCTATAAGCCATGCTATTATCCTACGCTCAGGAATTAACTCCTGCTTAGAAAAATTCTTCCTCTGGCTTGTTTTGTTTGTGCTCAGAGACATTGTCTTGTCCTAGGTCTGCTGCCAGATGCTTTATTGTTGTAACACATACTTAAGGTGCAGTCTTACTTAAGTCATTAATTTACTGTTGTTGTTGTCGCTGCCTATTACAGCCAAAGTGATTTATTTAAAAACAATACTAACAAAAAAGTGAGAAATGTCTAGGTAATTTCATGGGGACATGTTAAATCCTCTAGTCTAGAAGGAAGCCATGGAGTCTCACCTTCCCTCTGACTTAGATAAGCACTTGTCTTCATTTTTTCTGTTTCAGAACCAGTTGACCTAGGTCAATGGTTATCATCCTAGCTGCACATTAAAATCATCTGGGGTACTTTAAAAAGTACTGATGCCTGGGGCCCACCTCCAGACTTTAGGATTTAATTGGTCTACTATGCAACCTGGGCTTTAAAAGTTGCCCAGATGATTCTAATGTGCAGCCAAGGTTGAGAATCACCACCTAGGTAATCCTTAGTGGTCTTGGTTCTCTTTTTGGTATAAGACATCTTTATTGGTATCACAGGCACTGGCTCTGAATTTAAAGTTTTTAATAGGCTAAGACTTGGGTGGTAAAGTGAATCATCTATCCTCAGAATAATTCTGGAGGTAGATACTGCCATCCACCCAGTTTTCTCTATATACCAAATACAAAGTATGTGTAAGTAAGCAAAACTTAATTTTCAAAGTCCCATCTCTAGAATCCTCTGCTTTGTATATATGTGATATAAGTAGCAGTTTCTCAGCTCTGCTAGATGAAATAGAGTACCTGAAATTCTTAAAAGCCCAACCCTCCTGGAGTGATTTCCATTTGTAAAATAAACAGGTAGTAGTGTTAAAGTTAATGGAGAAGAAAAGGATCTTGCCTGAGGTGACCAAGATACATTTGATTATTTGTGTCTTAGCCTGTCTTCTAAGTGAGATTCCAGTGTGAAGTGACTTTCACTTTTCCTTGATTGTTTCTTTGTGAATGAAATGCACTAACTACAGCCTAAATACTTCTGAAGTTTATATGAAATGTGAAATGAGTCATTTTAGCATCTTTGTTCCAGGATGTCAAAGACCTAGCTCAGTAATTCCCAAATGAGGTTCTATATCTTCCATTCTTCCCATTCCAGGTAGTAAAGATATTTTAATGACCACCATAGTTTAAATCTCCTGAGCCCCTTACCTGCCCATTCAGCCTCACACTTGGTACTAGGCAGGGGAGAATTGTTCCATTACCCTTAAAAAGTAAGAATCACTGTTCAAATTAACTAGCTACAATGTGACTTCTAATTCATGAGAGAAATTTGTGTTTGAGAGCAAGTTCAAATATAGCCCTCTCTCTTATGAGGGAATTCTTGACACCGTAGAAATGTTCATTCATATATTGCCTACAAATAATTGTTAATTTGAACTTCAAATAGGTGATATGTGTGAGAAGAAAAAGTGGAGGTCAAGGAAAAGGTTGGTTAGTGCAGATGACCTATTTAGCATCAGGCTATGACATTTCATTAAAGTAGCATAAAGGCCTGGCTGTTTGCTTAGCGTGTAAATGCTGCAATGTCAGTTAGAGAGAATGCCTTCTATGCCTTAGAAAATTCACGGAAAGCTTCCTGTTATTGGGTGGAGTAAAGAGGCAATAATAGCCTTTGGGACTTGTATGCATCCAGGAAGAATAGCTAACTCCTTAAGGTTTTCGTACTGAAGAACATTGTGGAATACTGTGAAACTTTGTTGAACTTTATGCAATCATACGGCACTGGATTTTAAGATTTTTGAGAGTAGAGTGGAGGAAGAGGATGAGGAAGTAATGGTAAAAGAAATATATGAACTTGTCCTTTATTTTAAGCAAGAAATGAAACAAATTCGCTAGCAGAACTGTGAAGTTCAGTCAAGTTCTTCTGCCTTACTGGGTTGGCTTGCTGATTCCTCTTAAACGTCTAGAAAACCCTTTCTGAAACAGCTAAACAAAGCTAAGTCTGACTAAGTTTCACCACCATGTCCCTTTCCCCTACCCTCAACAAAAGAAAAATATTCTCAAACTACAGGCGAAAGAAATGTATTCGGTCTCATTCCATTAACTTTTCGTCTGCTATGATCTGTGTTCACAGTTTTAGCCCATTATTTTGTGATCTGATGGCAGAACTTAAATGGATCTGCCAGTTCAGTTAGGAACCAATGGCTTGTCCTTTAGATAATCTTAAAATCGAACTCTGAATTTAGCATGTTAGGATAAGTGAGTAAAGGGAGAAGTACATTGGAGGAGCACTTAGATTTCCTGGCTCTTCATAATTTCAGGGTGGGACCCACTCATGCTCTGCCTCTGAGAGGAGAAGGCTGAGGGTTCAAAGATAGAAAAGTCAATGTAGCAGAAATTTGATTTCCTTCAGATGGACACTGTCTGAAAGAAATCTAGCCAACTGTGCTCTATGGTGCTTATATGATGGGTGACAGCTGTCCCCATCTACCTGTCCCTGGCACTGTGCCTCCCCACTGGTCACTGTGAAAAATAGATCACACTGGACTTGGAGGCCAGAATCCAGGACAAGTTTCCCCTTCTCATCTTGAGCCCGTCACTTTTTCATATAGTACATGTAGCATTTACTTCTCCTTGGAAAACTCTTGAGTTTTTTTCTCAAGAAATAATGAAGCATTTAATGGAAAATAGTCAGAAAATAAGATTCTGGTGGTAGCTATCAAATGAAGAGATCATAGGAGAATTTTACTTCCCCTAAGCTGGTGGTATTGATTGATAGCAAGGATCAACTGTGCCTGCCTCTTCCTGAGTTTTTAAAGGCATAATGTTTATAAGCAACAGACTTATCTAACAACATTTTTTCACAACTTGCTAATCAAGAAGGATTCATATTAAAACAGACAATCAGTTTCTAAAATGTTGTCATCCCTGAAAGGGAATGGGATAGAGTATTTTTAACTGGTAGAACTTACCAGTCTGTTTTTTCCCTTTGAAAAAAGCTAACATTTGAAGTTTGTATCTTTCATCTGAAGCAATTACTCCATTAACAAAGATGTATCAGAAACATCAGTGAGCCAGTATAGCACTCTTGCACCACTGA